TGCAGGATTGGGAAAATCTTCAAAGGCGCATACCTTTTTCCAGAAAAAAATATTTCGCCACGCGATGTATTGAAATGCATTTACAGTTATGTCGCGAAATGCTTTGAAATACGTTTCGCGACGCTCATGCATTGAATTTCGAGGGCGCGGAAATGCATTTCAATACATATTTTCCCTACATGAATAACCCCATTAAAGAATGTCAAGACTCAAATTTTTCAGCGCTGATGGAAATTATCAAGTGACAATTATGACAAAAGCAAAACTGACATATAATGGAACCGTCGAATGGGCACCGCCAGCTATCTATAAAAGGTAATTTTTTGGGTACCAACTTCGAGCCAATTTATCTCGATTCCTGAAAAAGATATCAAGAAAATTGGCAACTGATAAAATATTGGTGATGTTATGATAAATAATTTTTTAATTGGCACATTTTTTGATATCTCTCATAGAAATCGAGATAATTGAGCTCAAAGTTAAGATTCGAATTTCAAGTAATTATTGACTATCCTCAAAATAAGAGTCTAAACTTTAATAATTTTCTAATCTCTTCCGATACTTTTTTCCAGTATGTGTCAAATCGACGTCGAATTCTTCCCATTTGATCGACAACAATGTGAAATGAAATTTGGATCATGGACATATGGAGGTCTTGAAGTTGATCTACAACACAGAGACAAACATTTGGAAAAGGAAATCGAAGAAGACGTGGAAGGTGTTGATGGTCCAACGAAGGAAATTGTATGGGTTGTTGATAGAGGAATCGATTTGAGTGATTATTATCCATCTGTCGAATGGGATATTCTCAATGTTCCTGGAAAGAGACACTCCAAACGGTGAGTTGATTCTATTTTAAATTTTCAAGAAAGAAAAAACTAATTTCGATTTTCAATTCTAATTGAAAAACGGTTTCCAACAATTCTGTTTTGGGCAGCTACCGCGCCCTAACTTTCAACTTTGAGCCTAGTTATCTCATTTCCTGTAAAAGATATAATAATTGTTAATTTGACAAAATATTCTTAGTATATAATGCGAATTTTGTCAGTTGGCATATTTTTGATATATTGCATAGGAATTGAGATAATCGAGCTTTGAGTAGACGGTGTGAGAGCCCTACTGTTACAGATTTAACAGTATCTTTTACACTACCCTGGAAAAATTCTTACTTTAAAATTTGAAAAAAAATGTCGAAGTTGCCCAAACTATGAAAAACATTCGCTGACATTGAATCTTCCAAACCCTGTTTTGAAACAGTATAAAAATTGTGATTATACGTATATTCATACTGCAAAACCTGTAGTAGCAGGACCCGACTTACTTTTAACTTTAAGCCAATTTTTCTCGGATTCGGTTCCTGTGAAAGATATCAGAGTCTGATAAACTGTTTATCGCAATATCACCAATATTTTATCAGTTGGCAGATATTTGATATATCTCATACAAGCCGAGATAATTGAGCTGGAAGCTGACGATTTGGGGGAAGATAGGTTTTCTATAAGATGAAATATCATACTTGCAACGGGCCGGGCCTTCAAAAAGTTGGTCAAGGCCCGGGAAGCCCGGAAGGCCCGGACAGTTGGCGCCAGCTTCAAAATTTAGGAAACAATTTTTTTGGAAAAATTTTGTGTGTAGCATCTAATTTCAAGTTGAATTGTAAATATTGAATTTTCAAAGCTTAAACAAGTTTTTAAAAAATAATTTTTTTGCTGACTTTTTTCCGGGGGAGGGATCGGACTGAAAATTCCATTTTTGAAGCAAAATAACATTTTTCTCTCAAAAACTAGTTTTTTTTGTTAAAAAACTATTCAAAAATTTATTAAAAAATTTTTTTTTGAGAAATTTCGACTAAAAAAATCTTGTCCGGGCCTTCAACAATTTTTGCAAGTATGGGAAATACGGTATACAAATGTTTATGGGCTTGCTGACAATTTTCACTTTTCCCAAGCGATCGACGAAACGTTCTAGATTCGAAGATTAACCAAGAACCAGAAAACTAAATTCCAAATATTTCAGATATCCATGCTGCGAAAGTCCATTCATTGACATCACATACGAAATTCATCTCCGGCGAAAAACGTTGTTCTACACTGTGAATTTAATCTTCCCATCAGTCGGAATCAGTTTCCTAACTGCGCTCGTCTTCTATCTTCCATCAGACGGAGGAGAAAAGATTTCACTGTGTATTTCTATTCTCATCTCGTTGACTGTCTTCTTTTTGCTTCTCGTAGAAATCATTCCATCAACGTCTCTCGTCATACCTCTCATTGGAAAATATCTTCTATTTACAATGGTTCTGGTAACACTTTCTGTAGTGGTTACGGTAGTAACGCTGGTCAGTTTTTTTTATTTAATTTTCAGAACCTGGAAAAATCTTAAATTCAGAATGTGCATTATCGATCACCTACAACACACACGATGCCGAAATGGATGAAGAGGTTGTTTGTAGATTTTCTACCAAAGTATCTGCTCATGACAAGGCCTCAACCTCCAGGTCATCATAGTAAAGTAAGGATTACGGTATTGCTCATTTTCTCAAGACAATTTTTCAAATTCCAGCCAAATCGAAAGTTCGACCCACGTGCTTCAACATTCAGCATTGGAGTAAACCATATTCTGGGTCAGAATTCTGAATTACTCTCACCAAGACTCAACTCCAACAAGGAAGAGTCTTCTTTTACGTTACCACGGTATAGACGGATTCTGATTTTATAGAATTTAAATTTTTATATTTTCAGCGACAACTCGCCAGTGCGATCAGCCGTCGAAAGTGTTGCCTATATTGCGGACCATTTGAAAAACGAGGAAGATGATAAACAGGTAAAATGAGGGAATAGACACACGTGTGGATATACATATTGACATAGTTTTAATTATTTATATGGGCTTGAGCAAAATGACGATGGAAGGGAGCAATATTATAGTGTGATCGGTGGGGATGATGTGAGGAAAAAATAATATAATAGGATATTGGGAAAATTGATATGCGACATAAAATTGAGTTTCAAAAAATGAAACATGAGAACAAAGAGAGAAATAATCCAAACTTTTATAAACCCCAAAATTTTTTTGGAACATTATAAGAATTTAATTTCTGATTCTGGCTACGGTATTTTCTCTATTAGAACCCAACCCGTCAACTTTGAGCTCAATTAACTCCATTTCTGTGAAAGATATCAAAAATTAGTCAACTGATAAAATATTGGTTATATTATGATAAATATTTTATCAGTTGACAGATTTTTGATATCTCGTATAGAAACTGAGATAATTGAGCTCAAAGTGAACAGTATGGGTGGACCATTATTAGAGAAAATACGGTAAGTTAAAACCCGACATTTCAATTATTGACATGTTTGTTACATTTGCCAAAGACGGTTCTTAGAAAAAAAATCTGTAAGTATCCGAGCTCTACCTACAGCAACGGTGGATGGAATTCGGGATTCGGAGGGAAAAATGGGAAATTAGACGTTTCTTTTAATTTTAGAGTTCCTTAGATTCTTGTTTCTTCTGAATTTAGACTTGTTGAAAACAATCATCCTGAAAATATCGTAATTTTGAGAACAATTTTTTTTTGAATTAGAAACTTCAGGAATTCCATTTTTCAAAAACTCGTAATATTTCAAAACGTTCCATTTCGCAACTCCTGCTCAACAATTTAAAACAGTACAAAACCTTTTTTAATTAGAAAAATTCTACAGTACTCTCTGACCCACGTTCCAAACATTATTTTGTTTTTTTTCCGATATACAGTAATTTAATAATTTAATTTTAATTTTTTTTTTTTGAACCAGGTTAATTTACTTCCTCTATCAGAAACCCACCCAAACCGTCAACTTTGACCCCAATTATCTCGATTCCTGCGAAAGATATCAAAAAGTTTTCAATTGATAAAATATTGGTGATCACGATAACTAATTCATTAGCCAACAAAATTTCGATACCTTTCACAGAAAACCAGATAATTGAGCTTACAGCGGAAAGTTTGGGGGTGGGTCATTCTAGAGTTTCATCCTCAATGAAATTTTTTTCAGGTAATCGAGGACTGGAAATACATATCAGTAGTCATGGATCGAATATTTTTAATCACATTCACTCTGGCCTGTGCTTTCGGAACAGTTGTGATCATTGCTCGGGCGCCATCCATATATGATAACACGCCTGCTCTTGCCTAGCTTTTATTTTTGATTTTCTTTTTTGTTTATTTTTGGTTTTCAGAGACCAATAAAAACAAGAATATTTTATATGAAACCTTTTGTTAATTTTCTACATTCCATGTTTCTTTTTGAGTATCTGATTGCCTAGAAAAAGGCTATCAAATACACAATGGTCGTTTTTGTACATTCTTTTTTCCCCATTTGTCTCTTTCATTTTTCACAGAACTTCACCAAAATGTTTTTTCGATGACGGTTCCAATTTGCCTCGTTCTTTTGTCCCTTTTCTCATCAAACTCAACGATTCAATAATATATTTTTGCTCTTTCTGAAATTATAGGTATTTAGTTTTTCCCCCACTCATCTCATCATATTTTGTGTCTTCTTTTCATTCGGTTTTGCCTCGGAACAAACAAAAAAGGATAAAATTTCTTCTTTTTATTTTGTTTTTCTTTTTTCTAGAGTCTCTACAAGAATTCTTGTCTCTTGCCGCTCCCGAAAAATCACCGTGGAGTCTCCATGGGGAAAGCCCAATATCCATGGAGCATCTTCTTGGATTCCGCCAGCCGATGCACCTCACATTTTCATTTTTTTTTCTCTCTGGTGCAGATTTGAGTTCAGAACTTGACTGAATAATAGAAAATTTGTTTGTTTTTAGATTTACAGTATCGGCTAAACGATTATTCATTTTAGCCTTTATTCAGTTGAAAATAGCCCAATATAAGTGCCTACAAAATATAATAGATATTGTTGGATAAGGAACATTTTTTTGGTTCCACTAAACAAAAATGAATATTTATTTTTGTAGTTGATAATTTTTTCGCACAAACTCATCCAAATGAGATATCCCGCTCGAAACCAGAAAAGTCAAAACTCTGAAAGTATTGGATCGGCTGGTTTCAACCTGTTTATTTCATTTGAACGAAAGAAAAAATTTCAGTTGCATTCCAATCTATTATATTTTGTAGACATCCAAAGAGAACCATTTTCAACTAAAATAAGGTAAATACCGTACTTCCTCTAATAAAAGCGCACCCAAACCGTAAACTTTGAACTCAATTATCTCGATTCCTGCGAAAGATATTAAAATTTTGTCAACTAATTTATCAATTGACACTTTTTCGATATCTTCTTTATGATTCGAGATAATTGAGCTCAAAGTTGACGGTTCGGATGGCACTCTATTGGAGGGTTTACGGTAAGTTTAGTGCCGTTTTGGCAGGTGCTGTAAGTTATTGTAGTGAAATTATAGGGACTCTCCAGACAGTGGTAGAAGCTGTGATTGAGAAAATCCATATTTTGAAAACTGAACCTTCTCGGAAAATTGCTGAAATCTAAAGAAACTTGTTGAAAAAAAAGCAATAATGAATGCCTAGAATTGCTTTTCAGGTGATTTTGAATCATGGAAACACCAATCATGCCTACTACTCAAAAAGAAGTGACCCCAATTATGGTCCAACCAATGCCGAATTGGAAGCCTCCGAAATCGATTTCAAGTCCACCAACTCCATTGGACAGCCCATTCATGGCCGGACCAATTCGTCCAAGTGAGCATCTATCTTTAAATTTCATATCAAGGTTACAACAATTTCAGGATTTTCAACTCGATCAGTGGAAGTTTCGATTCCGATCCACGTGGAAGAAGAGAAGGAGCTGGTTGCTCCAAAGAAGGATATTACCCTTGTGGTTCCTGACCATTGGCTGGATTGCCCATTCAAAGAGCACGGATGTCATAAGAAAGGAGAGAAGAATGAGGTGAAGAGACATGTCAGAGATGATAGAAATCTTCATTTGGTGCTTCTCTGCTTGTCTCTCAACCCAATCCGTTCGAAAATCAACATCCAACAATCTGGATACGTGGATAAGTATGCCGGAATGCTTCAATACATGAACTTGGCTGAATCGTCGTTTGAGAAATTCGGAAGCCAACATACATTTCACGTCCCGAAAATCGGATTGGCTGTTGTCAAGGCAACAAAAAACAAATCGCATCGTTCACTCTTCAGCCAACCATTCTATTCCCATGGTTATGGATACAAGATGATGGCTGTAGCTGCACCATATGGTGATGGATTGGGTCTGTTTGTGTATTTGTATGTCCTTATAATCCTTTTCTCTTTGAGCATTCCGTGAGTACTTTTCGGTGTTTGTGTGCATAATGAAAGGGGAGTGGGATGATATTTTGGAATGGCCATTTCGTTGTGATGTCAGTTTCTCAATTCTGTCAGACGACAAGAAAGAGTTGTGTGAGTTTTTTCGTAAGGGGTTGAGGCTTTCTATAGTAAGATGTTGAGGCTTTCTAGAATCAGATAGAGTGTCACCCCACCCGTCAACTTTGAGCCAATTTATGTCGGTTCCTGTGCAAGATACCAAGAAGTGGTCAACTAAAAAATGTTTAATATCATATAAAAATAAATTAGTCAGTTGACCACTTTTGATATCTTGCATAGAAAATGTAAAAGTCCACAGTTGATAATATGGGTGCCTTTCTTTAAGAGTGCTAACGGTATATTTTTTCAGTGACCAAGACTATCTATGTGAACAAGGTGCCAGAGATTCAAGAGTTTCTGGAGAGACCAGAAGGACTAAGAAATGGAACTTTTGGATTCCAAGACTTTCTTCCATTAGCCAAAATCACTGAATTTGCTGCGGATGGAGACATTTTCATTCAAATCAAAGTGCTTCTGAGCCATGAGAAATTGTTCGAAGCAGAAGAGGTTATTATAACAAAAACCAATAAATGCCCTAAACTCTCTAATAGAAGGTCACCCTATACTTGCACTTTGAGCCCAAATATCTCAAGTTCCGTGAGGAATGTGGAAAATGTACCAACTGATAAAATGAAGGTAGCTTTATGATAAAAATTTTGTTAGTTGATCACTTTTTGATACAAATTTTAAGTATAGGGTGACCTTCTATTAGAGCGTTTATGGTATACTACCACTATTCGATCAGCTTAAGAACAGATGGTGGTAGAGCGTTTATTATAAGCTTAATATTGAATTAATTTTAAAAATCTTAGATCGATTCGATGGAATGTCAAGGTGCAAATGTGGCCGGATTCAAGACCAAAAACGAATGATTTCCAAAGAATTCTAATTTTGAATAAAGAATTCTTGTTGTTAACATCTTCACCCTCAATTTTATGTTCTCGAATACAGTAATCTCAATTTTCAGAGAACCAACGAAATATCCCATACTTTGAAAAAAGTCATTGGAATTCAGTTTGAAAGATTTTGACCAAAGTATTTTTCATGCTTTCTCATTCCAGTGTTTATTTCCTCGATTTTCAGTCAAATTTTTTCGCCAGTTGGCTGGTTGTAAAATCGAAATTGAAAAAATTGGGACGAAAAATTGAAAATTGGAAAATATGGTGTGAAAAGTTGGGAATGAAAAAATATGCATAAAATTTGAAAATGAAAAATGTAGAACAAAAAAATGAAATTGAAAAAATTAGGATGAAAAATTGAAAGGGAAAAATTAAAAAGTGAAAAATGGGGTGTGAAAAGTTGGGAATGGAAAAATATGAATAAAAATTTGAAAATGAAAAATGTAGGACAAAAAAATGAAATTGAAAAAATTAGGATGAAAAATTGAAAGGGAAAAATTAAAAAGTGGAAAATGGGGTGTGAAAAGTTAGGAATGAAAAAATATGCATAAAATTTGAAAATGAAAAATGTAGAACAAAAAAATGAAATTGAAAAAATTAGGATGAAAAATTGAAAGGGAAAAATTAAAAAGTGAAAAATGGGGTGTGAAAAGTTAGGAATGAAAAAATATGAATAAAAATTTGAAAATAAAAATGTAGGACAAAAAAATGAAATTGAAAAAATTACGATGAAAAATTGAAAGGGAAAAATTAAGAAGTGAAAAATGGGGTGTGAAAAGTTGGGAATGGAAAAATATGAATAAAATTTGAAAATGAAAAATGTAGGACAAAAAAATGAAATTGAAAAAATCAGGATGAAAAATTGAAAGGGAAAAATTAAAAAGTGAAAAATGGGGTGTGAAAAGTTAGGAATGAAAAAATATGAATAAAAATTTGAAAATAAAAATGTAGGACAAAAAAATGAAATTGAAAAAATCAGGATGAAAAATTGAAAGGGAAAAATTAAAAAGTGGAAAATGGGGTGGGAAAAGTTAGGAATGAAAAAATATGCACAAAAATTTGGAAATGAAAAATGTAGGACAAAAAAATGAAATTGAAAAAATCAGGATGAAAAAGTGAAAGGGAAAAATTAAAAAGTGAAAAATGGGGTGTGAAAAGTTGGGAATGAAAAAATGTGCATAAAATTTGAAAATGAAAAATGTAGAACAAAAAAATGAAATTGAAAAAATCAGGATGAAAAATTGAAAGGGAAAAATTAAAAAGTGAAAAATGGGGTGTGAAAAGTTAGGAATGAAAAAATATGAATAAAAATTTGAAAATGAAAAATGTAGGACAAAAAAATGAAATTGAAAAAATCAGGATGAAAAATTGAAAGGGAAAAATTAAAAAGTGAAAAATGGGGTGTGAAAAGTTAGGAATGAAAAAATATGAATAAAAATTTGAAAATGAAAAATGTAGGACAAAAAAATGAAATTGAAAAAATCAGGATGAAAAATTGAAAGGGAAAAATTAAAAAGTGGAAAATGGGGTGTGAAAAGTTGGGAATGAAAAAATATGAATAAAAATTTGGAAATGAAAAATGTAGGACAAAAAAATGAAATTGAAAAAATCAGGATGAAAAATTGAAAGGGAAAAATTAAAAAGTGGGAAATGGGGTGTGAAAAGTTAGGAATTAAAAAATATGAATAAAAATTTGGAAATGAAAAATGTAGGACAAAAAAATGAAATTGAAAAAATCAGGATGAAAAATTGAAAGGGAAAAATTAAAAAGTGAAAAATGGGGTGTGAAAAGTTGGGAATGGAAAAATATGAATAAAAATTTGAAAATGAAAAATGTAGGACAAAAAAATGAAATTGAAAAAATTAGGATGAAAAATTGAAAGGGAAAAATTAAAAAGTGAAAAATGGGGTGTGAAAAGTTAGGAATGAAAAAATATGCCCAAAAATTTGAAAATGAAAAATGTAGGAAAAAAAAATGAAATTGAAAAAATCAGGATGAAAAATTGAAAGGGAAAAATTAAAAAGTGAAAAATGGGGTGTGAAAAGTTAGGAATGAAAAAATATGAATAAAAATTTGAAAATGAAAAATGTAGGACAAAAAAATGAAATTGAAAAAATCAGGATGAAAAATTGAAAGGGAAAAATTAAAAAGTGAAAAATGGGGTGTGAAAAGTTAGGAATGAAAGAATATGAATAAAAATTTGAAAATGAAAAATGTAGGACAAAAAAATGAAATTGAAAAAATCAGGATGAAAAATTGAAAGGGAAAAATTAAAAAGTGAAAAATGGGGTGTGAAAAGTTAGGAATGAAAAAATATGAATAAAAATTTGAAAATGAAAAATGTAGGACAAAAAAATGAAATTGAAAAAATCAGGATGAAAAATTGAAAGGGAAAAATTAAAAAGTGGAAAATGGGGTGTGAAAAGTTGGGAATGAAAAAATATGAATAAAAATTTGAAAATGAAAAATGTAGGACAAAAAAATGAAATTGAAAAAATCAGGATGAAAAATTGAAAGGG